GTTGTAACACACGCCGCTTGGAAGAGTGAAAAGAATAATGTACAGTTATTTTGAAATGTATCAATAGTAGTCATTGTCAAATGAATTGAGAGTGGTGTTTTTATATTGTTTAAACACAATTAATGTAATAAATTGTAAAATATAAATACTATAACACATGGTTATTATTGTTTTGAAATAATTCAATGTATTGTCTCATCAAATATAAAGTCTCAACAAAACATATTAATACTTTTATTATTATTTTCATTAAAAATTATTATAATATATGATGATTACTTTTTATCAGTCTTATTTTTTTAATTACAATAATAATAAAAATAAAAATAAATTATTTGTGAAATAAAACCCAAACAGTGAGTTCATGTTTGAAAACATTTTAATAACTTAAAAAACGTTTTTTATATTTATAAAGATTATGAAATAACTTAAAATCGTTATTATCATGTTGTTTTATTATCATAATATATCATTTAAGCTTAGTATAAAAACAACTTTTATCATTCAAAACAGTAAATTTTGTTAAAAATGACCAAAAAGATATATGAAATATTTTTAATTATATATTTGTAATCTTAATATCTACTATTTCATAGTTCCATTATCATAGTGATGATTTGACTTTTGTAAATACAATACACAATAGCAATATATAAGATAATTATGATTTATTGTTTGTAAAGACAAATACAATTCTGTTTGAATTTAATTTTATCAATATTGTGATGTTTATTATCAATCAAATCTGACTTGATACTGTTTGTTTATTATTAACAAATAACACTGTTTTTCTAAATAAATAAAAGATTATTAAAATTTGATTTGTTAATAACAATTAGGTTTTGATTATCATTTTTTCAACATCAATATGTTATTTTAACTAATTTCGTCACAAAACATTATTAATAATTCTTATTTCAAATTGTTTAAAATGATAATTCATTATATAACGATAAAAAAACTTAAAACAACCAAATAACAATGAGTGAAACAAATGACTTGATATCCCAGTTAAGTCAACAAGTGCAAGAATGTATGGCATTCTATTCAAACGAACTTTTTAAAAGAGACCAACGCATATTTACACTTGAGAAGATGTCGCCGAATTAAAACTGATAATATTAAATACACCATCTACACTTGTAAAACAGAGTGAACATTCTTCTGATCACAAAGAAACAACATTC